CCTGAACTTCCATTTTATGGACCCATCAGGACTGCTATTCCCATTTCTCTTTCCTGACCTTCTGCTTCCTCCATATCCTTTTTTTTCTCTCCTAATTTGCCATTTCACTCCTCTCTCCTCCACTCAGAGATTTACAGTTTCGATAGTTACTGAGGCCACACGTTGCGTGACCTTACAGTGATGTCTTGTTCTGTCAACTGCGGGAGAAACATGATTTGACATGATTTGACATAATTTCCATCTCAGGCCCTCATACAGCCGCTCCCATAACGAGTGTTTCTGCAGCACAAGGATTTCGTGACTCAAGAACACAAAAAGTCATTTAAAAGGTGAAGCCAAGCAATGAATATGACTTTGGTCTGGAAATAAATAAAAACAACTCAAATTTAGTGAAGCAATGACGATAAACTGTAAACAGCTTGCTGTGTCCTTGACATTGGTCCATTAGGAAGACACATTTCAAAACACCTCAAAGTAACTAAAGCGTGTTGGCCAAAAATGCTCTTATATTCAATAACAAAACATGACACAAAAGCAAAGCATATTTCAATCAAACAACACAACTTAAATGTGACACGGTTTAACCTTAATTTGTCTGTTATTCTATGCCATTTGTTGATCCTTTTCATAGTACGTGCCAAATACGGCAAACAAGAATTCCAAAATTTGAAAAGAGATTATAAAAACCTGCTACACTCTTAATATTATTTGTGAGATGCCCTTTGGAAATATTGCCAAAAGAAGTTATGAACTGATTTGATTCTTCTATGCAGTTCTTTCCAGTCCTATGAATGTCATGTAACACATACAGGAAGAACCTACTGTAGACTATAAACATTCAGACATGTGTTAACGTACCGATTTTACTTTGAATGTTTCCCTTTTCCATCAAAGAACCCATAAAGAATATATCAAACTCAGAATAAATCACCCACGTTGTCTCTTGTACTCGAGAAAGATTGATTGAAGAGTTGTTTCACAAAGGTACATTACGTCGATATTTTATTTTAAGTGTTGTGAATAGATGTTTCCTTTTTGTTTAACTCACATTTAGTAGTCTAGTGTGTTGTGTTTTTAAATGAGAACTGTTATGAAAAGGTGTGAAAAATGTGTGAAAACAATGAGAAAGTGTGAATTTGCAAGAGAAGAATTCTGCTGTGCTAAGAAGGTGATGATGAAAATCAAATGGATCCCAGCTTCACAAGCATGTCTAGCAATGAAACAAAAACTGTCATTGTGTTTGATTTCTTTACTTAAAGTGGACCTATCATGCTATATTTGAATAATATAGTGTAGGACCATACCTATATAAGGCATATTTATACTTTTTTTTTTTCAAAATACCAAACAGATCATGCATTTTAGCCATGCCTCATTTTGCTCAATTTGACAATTTCCAGCTCTGTTTTTGCAAGGGCTGATTCTGTGAGAACAGCACCACCTACAGGCCTGGCATATGTACTACAGCGTCTCCAGCACTTTCGAACGGCAATGGCCGTGGCTGTCTCCTCCTGATTGGTGGAGTTGGCCCAATAGCCGTAGCGCCACTGTCCTGACGTCAGGACAGTGTTCAAATCTGGATCAGTTTTTATCAGATCCGTTGCAGCCCCTTTTTTAGAGATTTGGGTATGGAGGAAAATAGAGAGGGTTGTGTTTTCTGACACTTGGTGAGTTCCCTGGAACACCGGGGACACATAATCATGTATAAAAGACGTACAAAAGTGCATTTTGCATGATAGGTCCCCTTTAAACACCTCAGATAACAAATTGATCCAACAAGCTTTTTAAAGGCTAATTGCATTTACATTTTAACATTCTGAACTAAATTGACGAGAAGGATAAATTGACTTTACAAAAAGCCAAGTTAAGAAAATATAAAACCCTGACATAATGTAGATTTATAGAGATTATATGTCAGCTGCCAAACCTCTCTACAGTTGACATGACACGGCAGTATTGATATTTGTGTTGATGTTTACATGCTGTGAAAGCAAAAGCCAACGAATGCAGATGACTCTTCGTGAGCTACATTCAAAAATTGTACACAACAGATGGCAATGAAGGGCACATCTGCAGGCACTTCTGCTGATTTAGTGTGTGTGTGTGTGTGTGTGTGTGTGTGTGTGTGTGTGTGTGTGTGTGTGTGTGTGTGTGTGTGTAAATGCATCTGAATATGTGTTTTTTTGTATGTATCTACGTCATCTTGGAGATAAGGCTGCTTTGAGGCCGACCTCAGGAGGGCGAGGACAGGTGGAGGCGGAGAGGAGGACGACAGAATACCAGAGAGAGGCAGAGTGACAGACTGTGAAAGTTAAAGAAGGACAGCAGGCAAAAAAGCCTCTAAGTGAAGGAGATATGGGGTCCATGAAAAGAAGACATGAGAGGCGCGGGAGGGGCAGGGGTTGTAAGGACAGCCGACCGAAACGGATACTCTTGGGGATGAAAAGACGAGAAAGGAAGAGACAGAGAGAACAGGAGCCCTTATGTCACTCTGAAGAGGACACGTCTTCTGTCTGACCTTTTCAGACAAATGAACACCCCTCCATCCTCCCTCCTTTAGAGACCTTTAAAAGAAGTGTCCTTTGTATAGCTTTTCGTGTTGGGTTGTCCATATTCGTGAAATATGTTTTAGATATATTTGTGAGGAAGGGCTTTGGCTCGGACCTCTTGACCCCCTGCCCTCCTTTAATAGTACTTTTTAAAGCTCCTACAATAAAAAAGTTGAAATGTTGACTTTAATTAATTTTATTAGGTCAAAGAAATTACACATAATTGTTTTTAGGTTAGTTGAAAACAATAATTGTAATATTAAATAAAAAATATTAGGTTCAACTTAAACATATTATTCGAAGAAAATTGTGTGTAATATGCTGACAAAATACATTTAATTAAATTACTGATGCTGCACTACCAGTTGTCACATGCGTGGAGGCGTAAATGACTTCTGTGTATTCTCTCTGTTTGCAACACTATTTAGTATTCATCTTACAGGTGAGTCCTTGGTCTTTTCTAAGCCCTTTCCCTCCCCATGTTTACAGTTTGTGTGTCATTTTGAAGAGGACACGCCTTCTGTCTGACCTTTTCAGACTAATTAAGACCCCTCATCATCCCTCCGCTTGAGATCTCCCCCAACCTTTCAAGAAAGTGTCCTCTGTGGGTCCCCCTAGCTTGTATTTGGGGTTGTCCAGCCCTTTTGTTTTATAATTATTGGTGAGGAAGGACATTGGCCCTGACCTCTTGACCTGCTGCTGTCCACTGGGAACTTTTACTTTTACTATATAAAGCTCCATACTGTTGCTTCAAACTGTTTAAAATGTGCCCCTCATCTAAAGCCTCCCAGCGTCGACAGTTCTTCCAGTTGTCACACAACCGGCGTGACTACTAAATGACTTCTGTGTACTTTATGTTTTTCTCTCTGGTTGCAACACTATTTAGTATTCATCTTACAGGTGAGGCCTTGGTCTTTTCCGAGCCCTTTCCCTCCCCATGTTTACAGTAATCCGATGAGCCTGCAGTTCCTTCCCTCATCAGAAGACATTAATGTATGCGAGGTATAACAGGAATACTCTGGCCCATTGCCTCAGAGCACAGCACTTGTTACAGAACTAGAGTTGGTCCTCGGGGAAGGCGCTCTGACTGTCAAATGCAGAGGACGAATTTCCCCTTAGGGAGTCAATTAAGTATTTATGCTGGATGCATAATAATCAGAGTCATTGTTGGTTGCAAGGGTTGTAACACTGGCTGCGTCTATAGTTTGTTGATTACAAAGATACAAATAAACATGAATTTAAATGCTTATTACAATAACATTGGGGGCAAATGGATTTATTTCATGTCACCGGTAGCAGTCAGCCCATATATTGTTTGCCATCAGTGCCACACATGGGCATTATGTCATTGCTAAATTAATGCCATAATGCCTGATTATTCATATGCGTGTACATTATATCCATATCCACTTGTCTACACCATGGATGTATAATAAGAAGGTCTACACTCATACACACAGAGTAGCATGTGTATTTTCATGATGAAGAGATAATCCCAGTTTGCTCTTGAACAGTTCCCTCATCATGCTGTGGCAAATGCTGACTGGTGAATATAGCACTGCTGCTCTCTGTGGGACAAACTATGCAATTACATGTTCTATTATAGAATAGAATCGGAGGGATGTCCGGTGCCTTGCTCAAGGGCACCACGGCAGGGCCCAGGAGGTGAACTGGGACCTCTCCAAGTAGCAGTCCACAATCCATATTTAGGTCTGTTTGGGGACTTGAACCGGCGACCCTACGGCTCACAGTCCAAGCCCAAGGAAGTCACACATCCAACTACAAACAGGTGCCAGACTGATATAAAAGCTATGAAAATAGAACACTATTATACCAGTGTTTTTCCTGTATTATTATAGACTTTTTCATTAAAGCTGTCAGTTGATAGTGTTGTTGTGGATCCATTTTGCTTTGATTAACTGATATGTTAACTATACACGCAAATCACACGTTTGCCTCATGGGGCTTTGTAATCTGTACAGGATAACACAGTCCTGTTTGAACCCACACTTCAGGAGAAACTCTCCAAACAAATCCCATTTCCAGGACATACAGACATGTAATGGTCGTCACCACAATACAATGTACACAATATAAATGACAAATAATAAAACGTAAAGGTGAAGATAAATTAAAAGAAGAATTAAGGACGATTAGTATTTCTCATACTAGTTCGCACTCCACCTGCCTGATGTGGATTCAAATAATGTCTTGCCTCCTCATAAAATGGCATAACGGCTGCCATGATTTACTGTCTGTGGTCTTAAATGCCCACCTACCTTTACCTGAATTAATTGTAGTCTTCCTTTAGGGTAGTAACTTGTGTTAAGATCATAGACTGTATGTTAAGATATAAAACTTTGCAGTGCTGTTGTGGATCCTACTGAAAGAAGAGACTACACTATCGCGATACGTCATTAAGTCTCGCGTTAGTACACACATCTCATTCGAGACAAACTGGAGGGATTTCTGAGTCTGCAGTGGGTGCAGCTAACATGCTAGCAGAGAAAACATAACTTATCTACGGATTGTCGGATTCTCTTCACAAACAAGTCATCTGTAAGGTAAGGATACATGCTTCTGAGCAATAGGTGATAACAACGTAAATGCTAATGGTTCCTTTAACGGTGTTAGCATGTTAGCAACTTGCAAGAAATGTGCTATATAAATAAAACTTGATTTGATTTGAACTTCTGAATTGCTGTAGAAACTTCACTCACTTTACATATAACGTTAGCTACCTAGCATGTAGTGACACAGGAGCTAAAACAACACTGTAAACAACTAAACACAAAGACAGCAACGCACAATTGCCAGGACAACTTTAATATTTTGAATGCACATTTGTTTTTATGTGTAGCTACTAGCTTAGCTTGGATAACTTGTAGTTGTTGTTGTTTGTGATAGTGAGCAAAAGCCAGTTACAATTACCGTTATATAACTATATTCTATTTAACATAGATTTGACTATTTTTGCTATCTTTAATATGTGTCTTTATGACTCTTGTCACTAATTAAACGAACACACAGAAAGCTAGGGGATATGTAAGGCATATATACAAAGCTAGGGGACATTATTTGGTCAGATAAATACATTATTAGAGCTAAACAAATTAATTCTCCCGATATCTTTCTTGTTTTGCTATCGGCTATTTATTTAACGGTAGCCAACTGCTAGCCTATACAATTTTAAAATGAGCTGATGAACCTGACACATGCTGTATATACATACTTAAACCTAGAGAAGTTAAAGTAAAATGTGGACATTGTACTACAATATAATAATATTACAACAAAAATGCAGAAAATGATAAAATAAGATGCATGTATAGTAATAAGAAATGTACAGTGAAATACAGGAACAAAGCCAAAGTGGTGTTCTTTTTGCACAGTATAGTATTGCACAGGTTATTGTTGGTATAGTCCAAATTGCACAGTTTAGGCCTAATAATGGGGTGTTAAGGGGTCTTGAGGGGTGAAATAAGTCCAAGGGCAAGTCTAGAGTGTTGTTAGCTATTGTAGATATTTTGTTTTGTGTAGTGCTGCAGATAAATAGTAACTACTGTTTCTGCTACTTTCTACCAAGTGCCAAAATAAAACACATTGTTATTTTATAAAACAATTAGATTATTTCTAGCATTATTGAATTGAACAAATCGAATGTCAAACTGAACACAAAAGGCATACAAAAGAATGATGGTTTCATTTTAAAGTGCAGTTTTATCTTGATAATCTCTTTCAATTATCTCTGAAAATTCCTGAGTGCAATAGAGTAGTCTTTTGTGATAAGCACATAACAGAAGACTGCGGTAAAAAAAAACGATATATTCAGTTGTTTCTTGTTTTATGTTTTGCTACGTATTCTTCTTTCTGTGTCTTTGTATTCACCGCATACCAAAGCAAATTCCTCGTATGTGTTAACCTACTTGGGAATGCAACCGATTCTGATTCTGATCACTTTAAAGACTCTTGCTTTTATCTCTGAATCTTCCATTTGTGCACTACCACACCAGACTCTCAAGATGGATTTAGAAGATGACACCTCTGTGTTAACAACCTTGAAGTCCTTCAATTCCTTCATCAGCCACACTGAAGCTCCACAGCGGCTGTCAGAGGGCTCAGCGGGGAGTGGGAACCTGCAGAGTCAGTACAAACGCAGCATGGAGGTACGCAGAAACTGGCAGCATCAACACTAAGCTGAGTGAAGGCGGTAATTAACATGCGACCTTGTTCACTTACTGACTTGTCTTTCCATTTAGTTGATGGAAGCAGGAGAGAGGGTTCACTCCAATAATCGCTATCTTCAGTTGGACGGGGAGAAGAAGCAGATGGAGCTGAGTCACAAGCGAGCTCGATATGAACTTGAGAAGGTCGCTTCTGACAGCGCACGAGACTTGGAGGGTACACACTGCGCCCATTGTTATACAATATATAGCAAGTATATTACTAAATATACAGTGGTGTATAGGAATAAATACAATTTAAATGCTGAATTGCACAGTTTTAAAGAGTTGTCTGCTTATAGGTAATAATTACAGTTTTTTTCGAATGCTAAAACACATTTTTTTGAAGGCAGTGCTTATTAGAAAATGTCTTACATGAGGCCTTTTTCTAGTGCTTACACCCCGATTGATAAAGCAGTTTAGTGTTCATGGTCATTTGGATGTGCATTTGTTTATTGGTTTATGTGAGTAGCATTTTTAATGGCAGTGTTTTGAAAATGGCAAACAAGTGAATATGTCAGATTTCTGTGTCTTACTTGGAGAACTGTGTGCAGTGTTTTGCAAAAAGTGTCAAGATGAATAGCAAATTGGGTGCAGAGCTGAAAATGTATTTAGAGTTTTGGAGATTTGAGCTCAGGTTTTGCTCTTTGAGTGTGAGATTAAATAATTGTGCTTTATGTGAGATTTTAGTGTTAGCAACTGAATAAAAATACTCTTGGTAAACATGTTTTTCACCCCTTATGATACAGCATGAGGTGGATCGAAACCAGGATCTTCTGGGGCGATTAAAAAAGTTTCAGGAGAGAGAGACGGAGGCAGCTAAGAACCTGTCGGAGCAGGTGGAGGCCAACAGAGCTCTCCGTAAAAAACATGGAGGGCCTGAACAGGAAACTGGAGGAACGAGACACTCGGACTGAATACTGCAAATCAGGTACGCTCACACAACACCGCACAATGCATCTATACTCTGCGTCATGTCTCTTTATCTTTATGTCGGCTTACTTCTGTAATCTGTTCCCAGACCCATCAGTTTCTTTGAAGGATGAGATCAGAGAGCTGACGCAAAGGATTCAAAACCAAGACTCGACAACTTCTTCTCAAACCCTGGAAAACCAGGAGCTGCAGGAACAGTTAGATTTACAACGCAGGTACACACACACACACACGCGCACGCAAACGCACACTACCAAATAGCTTAGCTTTGTTTCAAGTACTGCACGAGTTAATTGCTAACCTCACACTTGTATGTGCTTCGTATTTCAATCAGGAAGCATCAGGAAGTCTCTCAGCTTTGCCAAAGTCTCCAAGCTGCGCAGTCCTCCTGCTCAGAGCACATTGTCAAGATTAAGGTATGTGAGGCACGATCAGGACTGCAACCATTTCACGACTAGGGGTTAGTTAGTACAGATATAAAAGGCAGGAAATTCTTTGCTTTTCTTCTGTTTTATATTATATCTTACTAAATATATGGGTTTTGGATAAACTGCAAGGAAATGTTTTCACTATTTTCTGACATTATTTAGATCATTATTGTGCAAGTAATCGGCCGAAAAAGACTAATCATAAATATAATCATAAATTGCAATCCCAGATGACAAAACTTTTGGCCAGTTTTTTACTATAGTTAGTACACAAGCTTGTGTAACATGAACAAATTGAGATCACAACATTCCCATGTACCTTATTCAAAACTGTACTGAAGGTGCTCACGAAAATATGCTAATGATAAACACTACCATTTATAATTCACAAGCTGAAATGAAAGCATCAACTAACACTGGTAACACATTTTATTGCTTGTAGTTTTCAACCCTCATTTATAAGCCAATTCCATCAGAGTGGTAAATGCAGCAGCGTGCAAACACGCAGCTATTAACTCTGTTTAAACAAGAATGAGTGGCTGGATGAGGACAAGTCAAAGACAAACCAACACGATGCAGACTATCAGAAACCTGGGTAATGTGAGGATACTGTATACAGCAATAAGCTGTACAATGTATTTGTGTAAGCCAAATATGATTAGAAACTGTAAGACAGTCTACTCACTCCGCTTATCATTTGAGTGGTTGGACATGTTTGTGTTTTTAACTATTTTTTCACTTCATTCTCCATTCATTAAATGCCTAAAAAGGCTGGAATTTTGTTTAAAGGTCACCTATTGTGCAAAATCCACTTGTTCATGTCTCTTATACATGAACATGTGTCCCCTCTGTGTAAAGAGACTCTGAAAGTTTCAGGAAAAAAGATTCTCTCTCTTTTTGTCCTGATCCATTTATATAAAAACCTGTCTGAAAATGAGCGGATCAGATTTTGGCCACTTTATGATGTCATAACGATGTGTTGGCTTGTGTAACCAGGGGCGCCGCCAGGGATTTTGGGCCCCATGAAAAGATAATCACATTGGTTACTTAAACATTTTTTTCTTAATGTTCTAAAATAGTTTGGGCCCCTGTCAGTCACGGGCCCTTAGTCCTAACTTTTCACCCCCTTACGGCGCCCCTGTGTGTAACCATTAGCCAATCACCAACCAAGGTAACCCCCCCCCCCCCCCCCCCCCCCACCAAATCACCTGAATCTCCTCCTAGAGCACCATTGTGTTCTTTTTAACCAAATATCTCTCAGAGGGGCGTGGGGAGGGGCTCCTTATTTTCATCTAAAGTAACAGACAGAGAATCAGCACTTTGGAAACAGGGCTGAAACAGAGGGGATTATGGGATGCTGCAATGATCTGTTTGGTGTTTGGAGCCAAACACTTCAGAGACTAGTTTTGTATATATCTGAGACCTATAATATATTGATGAAAAACAGTATATAGGGGACCTTTAACATCACTTTCTCTCTCAATTTGACATGATAAACTTGTACTGTTTGGTATTTCTTTAGGTCATTTCTCTGCCCGTGTTCCTTGCAGGAGTTGGAGCGGCGCCTGGCGCTGCAGGAGCAGGACATCGCCATCGTGAAGACTGTGAAGTCAGACTAGGTGGCCAAAGTTCCAGACTGGAAAAGGATTTGAAGCGCCTCAGAGAGGATAATGCCTTCCTCCGAGTCAAATTGTGTTTCAGTTTTTAATGCGTTTTTGAAAAGGTCTCGCCTTTCAAAAGAATAGGCTGGTTTTATCTTTATAGAATACAGCCTAGTGCTGAAATGTTTTGCTTCAAAACTCTTGACATTTCAGTGTGGCTATAGGTCATCATACCACACTACGCTTTCTGTGATGGGTGACTTTTGAGGAAGGGAGGTGGGAGAAAAGTAAATACCCAGCGATAAATGTTAACCTCGCCAAGAATATGCAGAAAACCCAATTCTGTGTGTTTCCATGGACGTGATTTTTCACCAGTGCCAGTATTCTGATTAAATACATTATGACAGTTTCACTTCTCAAGATAACTGATAAAAGAATGTTGGTTACACATTTCTGCTGAAGATGGTTTTTTGGTAGTCAAATGTTCATGGACAAGAAGAGTAATGGGTTAAGTAATATCACGTTGGAAAGTCTCTCTGATATAACATAACTGTCATTATTGATAACATCTAGTGCAGGGGTGTCAAACTCAATTTCATCGTGGGCCACTTTAGAATTATGGTTGCACTCAAAGGGCCGGTGGTAACTTTAAGACTATATAAATATACATAGATAAATATATATAATATATATATATATATATATATATATATATATATAAAATAATGTATTATTTTACAATATTTCCTCTGCATTGGATTATTATCGGATAGGGTAATAACTTCATAATTAACTACGACTGAAAGCAGAAGTCTGGGGCAAATAATTGCAAGTAATTGCAAGTCTCTTCAGTGAGCATCTCACAAAATGAGATGCATTGTGGGACATGTAGTTTATGGGCAACGTGCTCCTGTAATAAACTGATTATATGCTTTGCAAGCTCTTGTGGGCCACATAAAATGAAGTGGCGGGCCGGATTTGGCCCCCGGGCCTTGAGTTTGACACCCCTGATCTAGTGGCTCATTTCTAAACTGCAGTTACATTTTCAATTTTAATTTCATATCTTAATTTGTGTGGGCACAAATAAACATTCAGCTCACTACTGAATAAACTCACTAAATCAGATAGTGAATGTAGCGCGGAATCAAAAGTAGGCTCTTTTCCACATCGGACACCAACACTGGTAGTTTGAAGTTAATATTGAGTTTTGTGCGCAGGGAGAGCAGGGAGAACTGCAGCCTGCTGAAGGAGGAGGTGGAGGGGCTGAGGAGGAAGCTGGAGAGGATGGAGAAGCAGAAGGAAGAGCTGGTCCAATATCGAACTGGAGAAGGAGGTAAACTCACTTGTATTTGGCATTTCTCATTCTAGCATTTCATTTTCATATTACACTACTCTAAACATGGAATTAAAACATTACTAGCTGAGTATTTGGACTGGATAGCTCACCTGGTAGAACCCCATGTACTGGGGATCGATTCAACCTGGGACCATTTATGCGGTGCATTCTTTACTCTCGTTTTTAAACAATACTATGGGCAATACAGATTTTATTTTTAGAAAATGTCTTAAATACACAATATTATTATGTTAAAGTCTAGTCTTTTGCATATTCTTTTGTACTTCTTTTGGTTTAAATTAAAGACATTTTTAAAAAATTTTTTTTAATTTTACATCAATTCCTTTTTACATTTTTTATGTATTGTTATGTTGTTTATACGTGGTATATCTTTATTTTTATCCTGCATTTGACGGCTGTCCTTGTAAAGATATAATTGACTTTCTTTTACTGGACATACATGTGATCAATTCTGTCTTTAATCCTCAGAGGTTAGCGGAGAAGCTCAAAGCCTGGGAAAACCTCGGACAATCTACTGGACTCAACATAAGGTGCGTGTGCGTGTGCGTGCGTGTGTAAAGTTGAATCACTATATTCAAGTTTAATCACTACAATATAAATAGATACCACTAGATGGAGCTGTGGTCCCTCCAAATAAATGTGCCTCATCACTGTGGATTCATTCCACCAGTGTGTATAGGTGTGTGTTTGTTTTATACCTGCTTGTGTATGTGTGCAGAGTGTCTCAATGTATCCAGTCACAACTAGTAATGAGAGAATGATTGCATGTTTCCTTGTGAGCAGTAGAGCACATCTGTCAGATTATCACACACACACACACACACCATTTTTTCTTTGATTAACTCAGGCTGTGATGTAAACAGAATGCTGAATAGGATACATGCACTTAGCATATTTGGTTGGTTTTCTACTGTGTGTTAGAGTGCGTCTACATGCGCATTAAACAGGCTGCCGGATTTAGACCAAACGACTAATTGCGATTGATTCGACTGATTTTGCATGTGCGTTCTGATTCACCTTAATGGAAGGTTTGTCATGAATCATACATTCTTATTATCATTAGAAAATAGATTAAAAATAATTATGATGTACCTAACGTATGTTTTGTTAAAGTCTGTAGTATACAATTTGTTAGCCAGGCTATATCTCTGCGGCTGCACAATACATTCAAAATGTTATTAAAACGCAAAGCGCAACTTTTATTGTGCATCCAGCGATTTTAGATATTGGAAAAGTCCATATTGCGATTTCAATAACATCCTGGGCAAGAAAAAAAGGGATACATAATGTAAAAGAAAATGAAGTATTCCCTTATGTACGGTTTCATGTGTGTCTTATGTAATGCGATATAGGACATGGTGCATTAGACACATTCATATTTATTAAAGGACCTTGTTTGATCACAGCAATGTAATACCAAACTCTCAATTTAATACACACAGTCATTGGGTTGGGCTGTCAGTCATTTTTCAGAAAATCTGAGGCTCTCTCCCTGGGTAAATTGAGTTGAAAATGTGAAACCCCTCCTCAAAAAAAATCAGGTGTTCAGACTGCCATGTCATTGGCTGCCTAAGTGCTTCTGCTGAAAGTAGACCCCCCAAATAAACTGCGCTGCACATCGAGCTTCTAAAGGGCAGCCATATGTCTGAGCCTCATGCTGATCAAAAGTAAAGGTTAATGCAGCTTGCAAATCAACAGTTAGTAACTCCTTCAAGCTGTTTTACCGTTTACTAAATGGCCGACTTAATTGTCAGGATGTTGTTTTTCCAGCGCAGTCCTGTGATGTCGAGGCGAATGGAAAACAGGAGCGTTTTATTCAGCAGTCTGTTTACTTCATCAGCGCCCACTGAAAATGAGTATTGACTCTGATTTGTGCATTAGTGGCATATTGTGCCCTATAGGCTGCTAGGCAGTCATTATATCATCATGTATTATGTTCATGTATGTACATATCTTAGGTACGTCAAATTTGACTCGTTTCTACACGTTTTTATGTTGGAATAAGGGGCTGTTTCATCTAATTGCCGGAAAATAACATGGATGGTTTCATTTTCCAAGGTATTACATTTTGTAGCTTGTTTTCAATAAGTATATAAATTGTCCAAAGAGGTTGTATTCTACAGTGTGCCTGAATGTAATCATTGCGTAGGTGTGTAGTGTGATTCTGTGTAGTTTATTTATGGCATCCCGTTGGATTTGACGTCATCTGAACTAGGGCTGCACGATTTTTGGAAAAAATCTAATTGCGATTTTTCTGACAAATATTGCGATTCGATTTGCGATATTTGTTTTCAAGCGACCCAACGGAAGTTTATTGTAAAATGCGGCCATATCTCCGGCTGGGAAGGTCGCATCAACGTGCTCCCGTCTCTAGCACCCCCACAGCCCGAGCTATGAGTGAAAGAACAAAACTTACGTGAAACTTCCGTTGGGTTGCTTTAGAGTCAAGCTTCAGTTTAAGATTCACCCTGTAATAGATGTAGAACATTGACTTGACTTTCAACATCTGTCCAGGGACTACAGATGAAAAATAGCCTGTTGGCTAACTCTGGCGCATTTACAGTAATGTCAATCAATGTGCACTGTCCCTGTCAAATAAATAAATAAATAAAATAAAATGTGATGGAGCATTACTAACCTGACTCGGATGGTTTGTTTCACCAGACCATCTAGGAAAGCTCCAAGCTCTGTTGGAGAAGCCTGTGACCTAAGATTTTCATCGACATAACTACTCTGTAGCTATGTTCGTATGACAAATAAAGAACCTTGTACCTTGACATTTGGAAAAGGGCAGGCACTTTCAAAAATACTTGGCAGGTGACTGGATCAATCTGTCTATCACCTTCTATCATGGGCCACTTCTGATTGGTTAACAATGGCTGGTACATGTGGAGCACAGCACTTCTGATTGGTGTGGATGACTGACAAACAAGAAGAAAACAAAAAGAAGAAAAATGTAAAAAAAAAATAATGTTAAAAAAAAATCGCATAATTTCAAATCGCGATTTTGATTTGAAATCGATGAATCGTTCAGCCCTAATCTGAACAGGACATCGCACGCTCACTGCTTGATAGAGCCGAAGGTCCGTTTACGCCGGTTGTTAAACAACATCGTTATGGGGAAATGCAAGTTTGCGTCCAAATGGTTGGAAGATAAGGAGGAAGGACAATCAATACTGTATATAGTAAATGTGAGGTAAAGTGTGTCGCCAATGTAACCGGTTAGAACTGGAAGTGGCGATGAGGTCTTAAAATGTATGGAAAGGGTCTTAAAAAAGGTCTTAAAAGGTTTACATTTGACTTCAGGATTCCTGCATATACCCTGTATAGGTAAAAATGATCAACAAGTTCCTATAGAAAAGTACATTGATGACGTAAGTGTTGACTTTTCCTTTGAGCTTTCCATGAAATATCTCATGAGGGCGGCTGTGTTTTGCTAATTGTTCATTTTGCTAGGC